TATATATATATGTATATTAAACACATCAAATATATTTTTTTTATGAGTGAGTAATGAAAATGCTCTGGTTGCATCGGACATATTGAATATATTTTTTCGTCCATACAAAGGAATGTTTGATCACATTAGGTGCCTTAGATACATTATATGATGGGTGAACACATGATGCGTAATGAAAACATTCTAATAATGTCCAATGTATTATTTTTTCCTTTTTTCTGACCACACATAAGATGTACATCACATAGAGTAGATAATTCATCATGGATTAAAAAGGTCAGATGGCCTGAAGAGGTCTTAATTCTCTAATTAGAGGGCTTTAATCATATATATTTAGTTCTGATATAACAAAAATGATGTGGTCGACTTGTCAACTCAACGTGTTGATGTGTCAGCTCCTGCTGAGCACAACTGCTTCGTGCAACTGATGTGTCGGCTCCATCTGATCGACACGTAAAGAGCATGTAGCAAACAAGCAGACTCCACCTAGCTTGCGTGTCAATTCCACGTAGAGGACATGTTAGCTTTATGTGGCTGATCAACCTCTCTCTGGTGGCTGACAAAGTGGGGGTGCTCCATCGACTACTTACTACCACCTCGGTTACAAACGACCCATCATTAAGTAAAGTCAGCTAACCATGCTTGATGAGCACCACGTGGACAGTATCACACAATCTCGAGTCCAACGTAGGATAACGACGACTATGATAAAATTTTACTCTTCTATTACCAATATGAACTGCGTGATAGTTAGGCGTAACGACCCTTGAAAAGAGCGCACAAGTTCGTACACATATAGAAATTTTTTTTTTAGTTTGACTAGTCCAACCTATTTAACTAGATCATTAACTTAAGTTTTGAAGAGACATTTATCGAAAATACGTAGTTTATAGGGTTCACGAATGTTCAATACGTAAAAATTTTCATTTAAGATATATTCGAAATAGAATCAAATTGGGTATGGTTTAATTTTCAAATCGGACAATCATAATATACTCTTAACAAATTCTAAGTTGATGTTGGTTGAAGATCGATTCGTATAAATAGCAAGAGTGACTCCATTATTGGTGTATAAAACGCCAAGAGTGACTTCGCTATTG